CATTGAATTAATATATTTACTTTTTATATTTATAAATTATTATATATAATATACTTAAAAGTTGTATTAAATTAATAATATGTAATCAATAGAAATAATAAAAATATTTTTTACAATTTAAAATAAATTAGTAGTTTTGATCATTAGATTAAATAATTTAACTTAAAATTTCAATATATATAAAAACAGTAATGTAAAAAGAAAGGGTTTCATTGAAAAACCACGAAGGAAAATGAAAAAAATATAGTAAACTATATATTTAGTCATTTAACTTTTTTTTCTTAAAATCGTACTTGATATTAGACTTTGTTCCTATTTTGATTACTTGTTGTTAAAAAAATTAACAGTGATATTGATGTGTCACCATGCGATAATATATATTTATCATCAATTTGGTTTTTTTTTAATAATAGGTGACCAAAACTAAATAAAATATAACGTTAGGTATCATTTTGAGAAAAATATGGAGTGATTAAAACGAAATCAAAATGATAGTTAGGTGACGATACATGTAAGTTTACCCGTAAAAATAAAATAGGGTTGACAGTTTATGACCAAATTTGGGTCCCACCACACATACAATCTATCTTACACGTGTTTAATGAAAATATGGAGCATGAATGAGACTTCTACATTTCCGAGGTGAAAAAAGTTCTAAAAAGTGAAATAGTTAATTTTGGCATTGATGAAATCAAAATAATACTAATCGTCGGATGAAAAAGCAAAATAAAGAACAAATGTTGTGTATGATACGTACCATCAACTGGTGAAGTCGCGAAGAAGAAGGATGTCTGAGGAATTTGACAGTTAGGGTCATCGTAATGAAAACAGTCTCTTCTATAAAGATCATCATATCTATTATGTTTTCAGTGATAAAATCCAACGGCAGAGATTACTTCCACTTGCTTCTTAACTATCACTTAAAATCATCTCCATTTAATAGATATTTAAATGATATTAAATATTTAATACTTTATATATATTTTAGTATTTTATATTTATATATATTTAATATTTTAATACTTAATCAAATAATAATAATACTCTAATACTTACATTTATACTTTAATACTCTAATAATTTATATATTAATATATACTAATACATATAATATATATATATATATACACGTATATGTATACTATCTACTTATACTAAATATAATTATATATATATATATATGATTAGTATATACTTGTTTATAATATATGCATAAGTATAATGTACATTATATATATATATATCATATTATCATATTATATAACATTCATCATACATATTATACAATTGTACGATGCATAAGTATAATGTATATTATATATTATAATTGTTTTAATTTTTTCTCATGTTTTACAATTATTTTGATTTGATCATTTTATATTGTTTAATTTGTTTAAATTTAAATTTGTAATTTCTTATATGTTCATTTTAGTTCTTAAAATTATATTTGTATATAAAATTGACCCTTACTTATTTATATTTTTTGTAATTTACTTCTAACCCTGCAAATCACATTATAAATTTCATTTTAAATTCTATAAATTTTTGTTCACCAACTTTTTAAATGTATGCAATTTAGTTCATTTTTATATTAATTTCAACTTCACATTTTATAATTATTTCGATTTGATCCCTCATCCATGTGTATTGTTTAATTTATTTAAAGTTTTGTTTCTAGTTTTATGTTTCATCAATTTAGTACTTCAAATTATATTTTTATCAAAATTGATCCACAATTATTTATGTTTTTCGAAATTTATTCTAAATAATATACAATTACAAATTACAATTCAACATCCTCACGTTCGTGAAACATTGAAAGGCAAAAAATAATTTACCAAAAATGACCCGACTTGAAGTCAATCCGTATCTGGTAAGATCCGACCTAAATTTTATATGTCAATGATGTGACCCGATATGAACGAGATCCGACTGAAGTCCATTCGAACCTGAATTAACATGATATTTAACTGCTCTGGACTTGAACCGTTTTGACGTGAACTGACATCGATCCGAACTGAAATTAACTCGACCTGAATCTAATATGAAATCAACATGAAAATGACCCGAACTGCTTTGACCTAGATCCGATTTGATCCGAGTCAAATCATTCAATTAACATGACTCTATCTGTATCTGATTTTGCATGACCTGACAAGATCCGACTAAAACTTGAACGATTACTTGGTTTTACAACCCTAAGTGGAACTAATTTCCATTTAGGGTAATGTGGAGATGCGAATTAAATTATTACAAAAGACATTTAGACTAATAATTGAAATATATTTTAGTAAAAAGTAATTGATTATTACACATGATATTTTGATGCGTGTATAATTTATTTTATTGATTCCAACACTTTGTATATGGATACTATCTTTTGACAGAAGCAGAAGCAATTAATTTTATTAAGAAGGAAAAAATTATAATTATAATAAATATTTATAATTAGTTCATAAATTAAATATATAATTAAAATATTTTTTATAATTATTAATATAAGAGATTAGTAATTTAAGATTATATAAGGATTATATAAGAAAAAATAAAAACTTAACTAATTTTTTTGAATAATATGTAGATACGAATATATATGATTGTCAAGATAAGGAACCGCAACAAGAAATTTAACTACGGGAAGACCAATGATAAAATACAAATTCGAGTCAAGCATCGTGGGAAAGCTATCTACGAACGTATATTGCACATCTAAATTCAATTTGAGGGTCTACCAAAGCAACTTGATATTGCTTAAGCAAGGTCTCGAGTTCGAGTCGTTATGTATGCAAAAAATCCATGCTAGAAGACTCACCCACAGATGTTAAGTGTGTGATGCGGGTCGATCCGGATTAGTCAAGGCGAAGCTTTGAAATTGGGAGAACCAAAAAAAATTAAAAAAAATTTTTGATAATTTTTAATTTGAACTATGATTTTTTTCATATTAATCTTCGAATCAAGTAATTATTTTTTAAATTTTGATGGGATGACATTCAGAATTTATACCATAGGTTTTATCATCAAAATTTAAAGGAAAAATATCAGATGGACTAATTTGAGCCAAAAAGATAGTAGGATTAAGCTGAAAAGTATTAAATTGGGAAACTAAATATTATTTTCGCCCATAAAAGAAACCCTTTCTGTGACTATGAATGTATCCTAATCTTGATTAAAATAAAATTGTTAAAATATAATTAAATAAATATATAAATAAGAGTTATAGAGAATTTGGGCCATTTTAAATATGTAAATAATCTAGGGTTTTTGAGAATTTGGGCCTTTTTTTTTGAGCTCTTGGTTTATATCATGCACATGATAACTGAACTCTGTTTGAATCTTATGTATACCTTCCAGGGGTTGTATACTATGGACCTGTTGCTCCTCCAGGCTCAGTAAGGGACAACCTCCTCCAAACTTAGTTCAATACACTATGAATCCAGGAACTCCCATGTTCCCTCCAGAGATTATAACTTTGAGGGCTAGTATTGTAAAACAAATTGAGTATTATTTCAGGTAAGGGATTCGTTCTATTCTTATTTATTTAATAATTTTCATATACAATTTCCTTTGTGGTTTACTTTTTGCTGCTTTATTGCTGGATGCTATTGTTCAGAACCACTTGTAAATTCTATGTTATCCCTTTCAAATCCTAGTACCATTTCCATTGATGGATTGATTTATCTCTTGGCTGGTGAAATTGATTGTTTCATAAATATTTTCATTTAAGAACTGGATATCTTGTCAGAGAAGTGCCAGTTTAAAGCATTTGTGTGATTTTAATCTTGTGAGTCAGGTTAAGAGAATGAGTACAGACATACAATTTATCCTTTGATGCGCTGATGACTTCTTCAACTATATAAGTGCAGGTTAAATTTCTCTTTCTTAGGTGTCATTGTTTAAAATTTGATTATGAATCGTATGAATGCAAACTTTGTTCAGGTCAAAAGTTTAATTTTGAGCATAGTTTTAAGCTATTTTATGGTCTTTCTTTAATAATTATTGTTATAGGGTGATAAGATACGGAGATGTGATGAGTCGTCCAAGTGAGTTCCTGCTAGTTTGAAGCCAACATTGTCATCAAATTCTCTGTCTACTCAGGACCAACTTGTGGAAACTGTTATTGAGACATGTGGAAATGGTGATGTGAGAGAAGATTATTCAAGGAACACCATTGAAGAATTTTTAAATTTCCATTGCATGGTGTGTGCTTGGACCATGTTCTATTTGAGGTCAAATTTGTAGGAGTAACACGTAAAATTAACAGAAAACATACAATAGCTCAGCGATGAGAAACAAGTAGTTTCTGGTGGAAATGATGGCTTGAACATGAAATTAATGTTCCATTACAAGTAATTGATCTTGTAGTTTATTGACCTTAGAACTGAAAGTGCAGAATTATTAGATTTGAGCTAGATTTTTTTAAAAAAAAGATTATTAATTTTATATTTAATTGACACAATTCTAAATTGTTAAGCTAGAGAATTTTTTACTTCCTTAATGAATGAATATTCTTACACTTTAGATTTGAAACGGAAAAGAGAAAAAGATAGAAAGTGTGAATAGAATAATTCGAGTTTGAGTTTTAAATATTTACTTGATACATTGTTTACATTGTTTTGTGGTTTATGACACTTTTTTTTAAAGATTTTCAGTTTGGACTAATCAATACGGAGATAACAAGACAGGTTTGAGAGAGAGGAGATGTTTTTTTCTTTAACAAATGAAACAAGTCATTATTAGAGGAGGTTTTTTGTAATAGAAACATTTTGTGATCAAAATTAATTCATATTTAGATCCAAAATAATGTTTTATAAACAGAACTGTGAGACAGAAAAGTTTAAATCTCCTAATTTAGAGACATCAATAAGAAACAAAGGCTATACCAAATTGTTGTGGGAGAGGAGTGGAATAAAGTCCAATCTAGTCAGATAGACTCATCTTATGTTTAACTTTTTATAAGCAAAAATCACAAAATATTCACCAGATATGAGTGTGATTATTGGGCCATGAAAAATCTGTGAGCTAGTTAGTCTGCTCATGCCAAAATGTGCTTCTTATAACATTAATTTCTTGAGAGTTTTGTGATCATATATATGAATGCGAATGTGAAATGCATGTGTTCGGGATTTTCGTTAGCCTTAGATATCAACCAATTGCTATTGAAAGAGCTGTTAAACAAAATGAAGGGATTTCTCTGCCTGGTGCTGCTGATGGTAACAGTTGAAAAAACAGAGAGTAGGGAGCCAGTTCTACATAGGGTTGGAGGTGGAAGATTTTCTTGGAAACCAAATGTTAACTTCACGGATTGGGCAATTCATGAGCAATTTTTTGTTGGTGATTGGCTTTGTAAGTTTCTCTTTAAGACCACTTGATCAATTCTGCGTTATAAGCTGAATTGCAATTGAAAATAAAAGATTTCATTTGTTTTCTGGGTAGATTTTGGATTCAACAAGCAGTTATACAGTGTTCTACAAGTGAGCCAGACAAGTTATGACAATTGCATCGAACAAGATTCTATCAAGAACATAACGAAGGGAGGAAGGGACGTGTTTAATCTCACAGAAGCAAAACCATATTACTTCATAAGTGGCGGAGGCTACTGTTCAAAAGGAGGAATGAAAGTTGCCATCATCGTCCAATATTACATTTCCGCACCATCACCTCTTACAAGTGGTTCCTTCCCTATTACGGTCAGCTCTGCCTCAGAATTTCCTGGAAAACTGTATCTCTTTGTTCTGCCTGAAGTTATTCTTGCATACGCAATGCTATGAAGGAAAAAAAAACAGTTGCTTTGACATTGTTATGGATTTACTTTACAAGTGATATCAAACCAAGGTTTTTATCTCTTAATTACAATATTACAAATATTTAAGAAATAAAGACAGGAAAATTAAACAAAAGGGTAAAGGTTAACCATTTTAACTGATGAAATCTTAAACAAGACTAGATGAGTAGGATTTGACTAGTCAACAAAAACCATTTCATATTTAGATAGGCACTAGAAACAACATCCAAAAAATGTGATAATAAAAAAGTCTGAAACAGCCCTACTTGATATATAACTTAAAACGTTTTAGGATGGAAGCCCGTACAAAATAATGGGATATACGAGGTTCTTTTTCATCAGAAGAACATGGAGCTGCTGACATTTTCCTTCAATCTGGGAAGCTGAGGGACGGTAATGGCTCCAGGAACAGTCACACCAGCATGGCTCGAAGATGTCTCAGAAGCATCCTCAAACTTCAGGAATTGCCCCAACTAAGAAGCTGCCAGGTGAGCGTAGCAAATAGGAGCAACTGCGCCAAATGGATGTATAGAATAGGATTAGGAACAACAGCATTTTAAGAACTGGAATTACAAAATCAAGCGAATAACAAAATTTCGACGGCAACTCATAAGAGTATACTCACCAACAGAGATGGCAGTGGTGCTCCTTTGATACCTGCAATAGCCATATATCATAAGGAACACAATACTGATCGAGGCTTAAACCGTTAGTGAAGAAACCGAGTGAATATACACTTACACATAGGATAGAGAATGAACAAGTTCCTGCAGATCATCAGCTGAAAACCCGACCTGATCTAAGAGAACGTGATAATGGGTTGGCCTTGTGGTCTCCTGAACAAAGAACATATTATATAATCAAGAATAGCCAACAACCACAAACAACCATGAATCAACTAAAACAAATTTCTGTAGAACTTACTATCATCCCTGCATGAGCACAGAGATAAAAATCATTGTTCTTTGGGTGACAAACTTTGTTGTCAATCGCAGTTCCTGCATTGATTAAAAATAAGAAAAAGTTTTTAATGACCATAACAACAATCGGTAACAAATGAAGTAGACCAAATAATGAGTGAGACTAACCAGGTTGCACGTTGCCTGGAGATCCCTGCTGAAAAAAATTAGTATGATGATTTTTCTGCGCAACAATCACCACAAACTTCGGGTTCCAATTCTCATCGAGGAACTTACAAGTCTATATAGGGGAAATGTTGCTTACAAATTATTATCTTAAAGACAATCACGACTTAGGGTGAATAATTTAAAGAGAAACGTGAAACTATCAGTTCTACAAATTGAAAGGAACTACTGCATACCTCAATAACTTGATCAAGTTCTTTGTTCAAAATCTGATTGAACTGAGATTCACTGACACCATCCCTGAAAGAAAGGGAAAATCAAGAGGAAGAAAGCAATATTGCACAAGCATCTCAATAAAACATAATAAAAACATAAGCAAAAACAACCATAAACTATTTCACAAGAAACAACATACAAGAGACAATAGAAAATTGTGACAATCAGCAGCAAAATCTCTACCCTGATTTTCCTAAAAAAATGCATTCTTCGGCAAAAACAGTAAAATCTTAAAACAAAAAGAAACTTGAATATGATTATCTGATCAGACTTCATCTTCCTTGAATTTGAATAGAAATCCAATAGAGCCTCCCTGATACCAGATAAAAACATGTTAGGTACACAAAATTATTTCCCAGAAGAATAACATATTCATTTGGTCAATAATCATTACAAATTTAGTCCAATAACTTTATGATTGAAACACACCTCATGATACCCTCATCACCCTTGTCTTGAAAAGAGAATCTATCGTTTCGAGCTTTGGAGACTGTGTACGCACACCTGCCCTATAGCGGGAAATCAATGGCCATTGTCAGGAGCTAACTACATGCAATAAAATGAATTCAAACCAAAAAAAGGAATTTTAAAACCTGATGCTTACAACATAAGGAAACTATTAAAATACAATAACAAAGGATTAGATCATCTTTACTGCAGCAATTGACGGGACATCTGACTGCCCAGGAGAGCCATGCGATACATCCATACCAAGGATAATAGTTGGTGAAGATACTAATTTTTTTTACCCATTTTATTTATTTATTTATTTATTTATTATTATTATTATTATTATTATTATATATATTATTATTATTATTAAAAAATAATTACAGGCTCAATGAAAACTGGACCGGCCCAGTTACAAACAACCAGAACCAGCCCAGACCAAAATGAAACCCTAAATATTTAGGGTTTCAGGGTTTCTAAACCCTAGCACTGTTACCGCCGTCGCCTCCTCCAAGAACTCCCAACAGCCGCCTCTGCCGACACTTCCCAAGCCAGATGGTCCAACCAGCTGCTACCAACGCCTTGCTGCCACGCCGCCGCCTCAAGGAACACTCCAGAACGCCAGATGGCAACCAACAGCCTTCCCTACAGTGAGTCACCAGCCTAGCTTTGGTGACTCACTGAGGTTTCCCTCTCAGGACCGGTCCAAACAGAACTCTGTGGTGGCTATAAAAGCCACCCCACCTGCAAGAAAGAAGGAGGGGACAGAAAGCAGACACAGAGCAAGAACAACCGAAAACAACAAAAGGAACGAAGGGAACGACGGCAACACACAAAGAGAGAGAACCCACTACAAGCAGTGAACCAAAACAGAAAACAAAGAAAGAAGAAAGAATCTCACCAGAGCCTTCACACGTCACCGGAAACCTTCGAAAATCGAAGGTATCTTCTTAGATCTGCTCCGATCGGGGGCTATTTAAAAAAAAGGGTTACCGGAATCGTCTTTAAGACGGTCCGATCTATGTTTTGGGAAATTTTGGAAATTCCGGCCACCATTTACGGTGGCCGGCGGCGGAGGTGTATGGTGGCAGACGACTGCCGGATTCCCTCTGGCGGGGGAAAATAGAGAGAAGCCAGAGAGAACTCTGGCTCTCTCTCTGTTTGAGAGAGAAGAGAAAGGAAGAAATGAGAGCCGGTGTCGGGTATTAATACCCTCTCCCAAACGACGCCGTTTTGGGGGAGGGTATTTCTGTAATTTCATAAAGGGTAAACCCTGTTCGTAGTGCCCCAAATTTGTATACCTTACAATTTAGTCACTGAAAGTAATTTTTTTATTATTTTAATTTAATCTTCTAATTTTATTTTATTTTAATTTAGTCCTTATCATCATATATATATATATATATATATATATATATTTTTAGGTAAATATCAAATTTAGTCCCTCATAGTTTATTAATTATTATTTTAATCCCGTATTATGAATTATGGTTAAATTACACTTTTAATGCCCATCTTTTATATATTTCGAATTAGTACTCTAGTTTTATAATTTTATATTTTAATCATTCAAATTTCATTTTTGATTTTTTTTTTAATATTTTATATTTTAATACTATATTTTTAATTATTATTTGCAATATTATTTTATTATTATTACTTTTTATTATTATTCTTATTATTTATATAAATAAATATATATATAATAAATAATATTTGTTTATTCGTTAAAATCTTATATTTCATAAATTACTTTTTTAATAATCATATTTTAATATATATTTATTTATTTTTCAATATTAAGAAAGGGCAGTCTTAAAACAACTGGATGTACATTTTCTGATATTTTTAAATAAATAAATATCCTATTTTTTTAAATCATATATTAATTATTTAATTATATATTTATTTTTTAATATTGAAGAAAAGAGCTGTCTTAAGGCACATAGAAGTCATTTTCTGATATTTCTAAATAAATAAATATTTTATTTATAAATATATAAATTAATATTTTCCATAATTATAATTTTGAAATAATAGGATTATAAATTAAATATACTTTGAATTTTTAAATTTTTAATAATAGAGACAATTTATAATTAAAAAGTACCAATTTTGGGCGTTGTATGGGTGCTAATCCTTCCCTAAACGTAACCGACCACGAATCCCTTTTTATTATTAAAAAGAACAAATTTTTGGTTAAAACGCAGATCAGTTTATCTTTTAATCGATGTTTTGTTAAAAACTCTTTTAAAAGATGATTTTTAGGTATTCGACCTACCTGATCCAAAAGGCCGATGGCGACTCCCAAATTATTTAAAAAAAACCATTTATTCACATCACTTTTCCCGCCAAGTAAAAAATTCGTGCCCGGATAAAAACCGGTTACGACAGCTTGGCGACTCCGCTGGGGATTGTCAAACTTTAAAATTAATTATAAATTGTCTCTATTAATTAGAAATTAAAAATTCATTTATTTAATTTTTAATTCTTTTATTTCAAAATTTTTATTACTTATTATTTTTATATTATTTTATTAATATTTTTTTATTTTATTCAGGTATTAATTATTTTATTTGTCTGTTAGAGGTTTGAACATTTCTCCTCACACACAACACTTGTATTGCATAACATAAAGCTCTATAATTGAGTTTGTCCCTTTTAAGTGGGAGTGAAAGCGACATCTTCGTGAGAATTATTCTCCGTGTCAGACCTAGCAAGTAACTTTCAGGGATTATATGCTCTATGTCTTCGTGAGAATTTATTCTCCGTGTTAGTCATAGAGAAATGTATCCCCTCGAATTGAACTCGATCCGCTTAAGTCTGTAATGGACTAAGATTGAGGGTTTGACAGCCCAAGGGGGCATCAACAAGGACAGTTCGAGTACCTTTACTCCTAGAACTGAAAACCTGCATATAATAAACCCTAGAAACTCTCCCGATCTGAAATAATGCCGAAATTTTGTCAGTAGGTATACACAAAGGAGAAATAAGCTCTAGCTTTTAATTTATTTTATTTCCTTTTCTTTTTTCCTGAATAAATGCATGCGAACTAGAAATCATGCGGTTAGGTTAAATTTTCCAAACAAAGCATGGAACTAGAAAGCATGAGGTTAAGATTTATACCTTGATAGATAGATTTTTTCCATTAGTTGGTACTAACTATTCTATTTTT